TGCTTGAGAATATGCCCGAAAGAGAAGGAAGTATAGCGCAGCCCAAGTCTGTGTTGCACCCTTTCTAGCCGATGCCCCCAGTCGACTCCGAAGCTTGATATATGGTCTCCTAGGGCTGCTTGTCTCTCATTCACGTCTCCTTTCGACGTCTTTCTAAGTCCGCGTTCCGCCAACTCTTTGATTCTTTTACTCGTTATTTCTTGCTTGTGTGCTTCTTAGCAAGCGTTGCTATTGGTAGTTTCCGTTTTTAAGGACCCCATTTCACCAACAAGAACCTCGTTGGACACTCACTGCCGGGCCACTGCTCCGTCTTGATACCTAGCGACAACACTTCCACTCGCGACAGCTACACTGGCAGCGGGAACAGGCCCAGTATGCCACCTACGAACGTATCGACGCTGGACCCCGGTAGACAGACTGGACCGGCTTCCTATGAGTTGACGAACTTTGGCGGACCTAGTCAACAGCCATCCCTTGCGACCTTGAATTCGCAGTACAGTGCGGAGTCGTCGAAGGATCCAAGACATCAGCCATCGTATGCGACTTTGGATTCGCTGCGCAGCACACACAAGGAGCGCGTGATAGAGGACAAGGACGATGAAAATACAGCCGAGAGCAGGCTGGAACCTGCGCGATCGAGTCAACCTAATGTGAATGACGCGTCCAAAATACCTAATGGTGGACTGTGGGCATGGCTGCAGGTCCTCGGGGCGTTTTTTCTGTTGTTTAACTCTTGGGGCGTAAGTCAAAACCACGTACAGACTTCATGTAAGACCTGAACTGACCCTACAGCACAGATTATCAACACATTCGGAACATTCCAAACATATTACGAAACGAATTTGCTCGCCAGCTCGAGTGCTTCAGCCATATCCTGGATCGGGTCTATACAGGCGTTCCTGCTCCTCTTGGTCGGCGCACTCACTGGTCCCATCTATGATGCAGGCTACTTTCGCGCACTGCTCATCGTGGGAAGCTTCATGTTGGTTTTGGGCCAGATGATGCTCAGTCTATGCCATACGTACTGGCAAGTCCTTCTCGCACAAGCGTTCTGCATCGGTATTGGCACTGGATGTCTGTTTATCCCTAGTGTGGCTATCCTTTCAACCTACTTTTCTACCCGAATCGGAACAGTAATTGGAATTGCCGCAGCTGGGTCATCGCTTGGCGGCGTCATCTATCCCATTGTATTCCACAAACTCATTTCTCAAATCGGATTCGCCTGGACGACACGGGTGCTCGGCTTCATTGTCCTCGCCACTATGACTGTACCCAATGTTTGCATGCGCGTCCGGGTTCTGCCGGCGGAATCGCGTTCTCTTCTCGACCTGCGCGCATTCCGGATGCCGTCATATAGTCTCATGGTCGCGGGATTCTTCCTTGGCTTCATGGGCTTATATATGCCGTTCTTCTATGCACAAACCTACGCTATCCAGGAACATATTACCAGTGAGAGTATGGCATTCTATCTCCTCGCCATCATGAATAGCACGAGTGTCTTTGGACGTATAGTACCGAACTTGGTAAGCTTTTCCGCCACCCTCTGGATACTACTTTTGTTTGGCCTGGAGTTACTAATTTCTCTCCGTAACAGTTCTCCGACAAACTCGGCCCTTTCAACGTCGTAATTCCCTGCTGCATCATCTCTGGCGTTCTCTGCATATGCTTCATGGGTGCCACCTCCTCCGCCGGCATTATAGTACTCATGGCATTCTACGGCTTCTTCTCTGGATCGTTCGTCTCGCTTCCACCCGCCATTGTAGTTCAGCTGAGTAGTGACGCGCGAGACAAGGTCGGCACAAGAATGGGTCAGGCCTTCGCTGTCGTGGGCGTGGGACTGCTTATTGGAACGCCGATCGGAGGTGCGATTCAAGAAAAGAGTGGTTTTGCTAGCTTGTGGGTGTTCGGAGGGTGTTTGTTATTCGGATGTGTGCTGTTGCTTATTGCTGCTCGGGTGGCGTTCAAAGGACGGAAAATCATGGTAAAAGCATGAAGCAGGAAACGTGAGCGCCAAAGAGAACGAACCGTTACGCATGGAAGTCTATGGCAGTCTATATCCTACTCAACATAAAGTGAATTCCCCAACTCCAGATACTCGAAACAATAAACATCGAACGGTTGCGTGCATCACTTCGCTTCACACCACGCCTTCAGGTCATTGTTGTAGCCCTCCCATCCTTTCTTCGTCTTTTCCGGGAAGCCGAACTTTCGTGCCACCGCGTTTTCACCCATGAGAAAGGACAGCGCGCCGCTGAAGACTTCTTCTTGCGTGAACTTTGTGCCACCTGGAATAGTACTGCTTGGCTCAAAAGTGAACGAATGCGTACCTGTGAACAGAAGCGGTATAGACCCTGTCCACGCAAAAGAGGTTGGTGTGTTATGCTACAAACTCTGTTAGACAATGTCGCGTCATAGTCAAGTACAGATATGACGTACTTCTATTGGAGCATCCATCTTTTGTCCCGATGAAAAGACAACGCGTATCTTGTTCTCGGGTTCGACGGGGCCGAGTGGGGTCAGAGAAGCGAAGAAGCCTTTGTGGTATTTGGGGAGGGATGCGAAGTCGAGAAACTGGGGATCTCGTAAGCATTGCAACTGATAAGCTTTGTATCAGGCCGGAAAAGGTGAAGCTCGTACTTTTGCGCGGACGGCTTCCGGTGAGGATGCGATGTCGATGCTTGCTGTGACTGTCATAGCTGTGAGGTGGCAGACGAAGAGCGACGATCACTTGGTAAGTTCAATGGATAGGATTTGTTCCGACGAAGACAAACTCGAACCTTAATGTGACGATAGGAGATGCAGTGATGATATTTATCGCAGATAGCGTGACGCCTTCGTACGAATCCATATCTACAGCTGGTGAGCGGACGAAAGATATCATGATATACCTATGCCTTTTGCGGCTCAATGCGCGCATACATATCAGTGTGGCTTTACACTGCAAGGGGGCCTGGGAGATTCTCTGCACGTTAGCGTTGGAAGGTTGATGGAAGAACGCAAGAAGGGGCGGTGCGGCACGTCTTAGGGGTCGAGGCATCTCGCCCAATGAGCCGCAAGCGGTTTAGCTTGACCCAGATTAGGCCGATGTCCCCCCATGTCAGCCCATGACCTCCCCGCCTGCCTCTTCAGCCACCTCGTCCAATGTACCGCATTCGTCTCATCCACATGCATCTCGCAAAAACAAAGTCTAGATCATGGTCAATGTAGCCGGCCGTTCGAAAGGATGCTCAACCTGCCGCAGGCGCCGTATCAAGTGCGGTAAGCGCCAACGTCGTGCACATTAGACCTCAGGCTGACCCTACTAAAGATGAGACTCGCCCAACATGTCAGAGATGCGAAAAGGCTGGCTTCAAATGCGATGGTCCACAGTCGATCGTCTTTGTGCAAGGCAAAATCGTCAAGTCTAGGAGGTCACAGAAGTTGAAGAGCAAGGCGGCGGACCCGCCTGTAACGACTGTCTGGAAGAGGCAAGAAGTAGAAGAGTCTACCTCGGAATCTCCTGAATACCGCTTCGACCTCCCTGAAATCAGGCCTAAATTCAACGACAAAGAAATTTGCATCTGTTATGCACGCCGCCATCTTCTACCCAACGGTCCCATAGACCTAGGGTTACAGGAGCTTCAGCCCTCAGACATTGTCACGGATAACTACGCCGCAAAAGGAGCAAGCGGCCCATTGTTTGTTCAAGCCGCACTCAGCTTTGCAACCCTCTTCTTCGGCGCGCAGCATCACCAGAGCGGTATCCTCACCGAAGGTTATGCCATACATGGTGTAGCTCTTAAGCGGTTAAACCAGGCTTTAAGCCAGCCAGAACGGCGTATGCATGACGACGTAATCGTTTCCGTCATTCTATTGGCTATGCTTGAACTCTTCATGCCCACTGGCCCTAGGAACTGGCTCAAGCACATGCTTGGATTGGAACAGCTTCTAGCACTACGTGACCCAGCATCCCTGGCTTATGCGTCGTTTCGCACACTAGAGCTGTACAAAGGTGTACGACACATGATACTGATAGCATCATTGAGGAACAGAACGCCATCAATCTTTGCGCGACCACAGTGGAAAGCTGTACTGAGAACAGCACTCTCGCTGGAAACTCTAGATGAACAAGACTTACACGATGTGCTCGCAGATTGCTCGGTGCTCATAGCTGCGAGTGACGAGCTCTTCAAGCTTCAGCATCCGTCTGGCTTAAGCTATATACAGCGGCGACAGGAGATGCAATGCAAGGCAGATGGGCTCTTAGTCTTTCTTCAAGCGTGGAAACAACGATGGGATAGCAATGAGGAGAATGTCCATATTGAAGAAGAGTCTCTCGATCTGACCACTACCGAGATGTCGCCACGCATCATCTACAGGTTCATGAGCGACTCTGTTGCGCGGATGCTGATGTTGTACAACACAGCGTTGATCTACACCCTCCGTGTCATGGCGACTTTAGAAATCAAAACCAACGGCCCACAAGAGAATCTGAGCGATCACATACAGGGCGACACAGGCGCGGATGTTACGAACGAGAGTTCTTGCTATCCCGCCATTGTTGCAGCAGGGCTCAATATTGCCCGCTGTATCACTGACTATTTGCAACACAAACGCGCGCGGGGAGAAACAGACTTTGTCTCACCCATTGTACAGTGGGCTGTGATCACCGCTGGGCAGGCATTAGGTGGCGAGGAGTCTCCGGATGGTAAATGGATGGTCAGCCTGCTGAAAGGAGACGCTATGTATACGATTGCGAAGAGAGCTTGGGAAGTTTGAAGGTACTCATAGGTTACCGGCAACGTGTAAGTTGAGGAATGAATAGTTGCGCGGCTTTGTCGCAGCTGGCCCAGCGTTAACTAATGAGATGCAGTTGCTGTGCAGTCAAAGTACGAAGTCACTCTCGAAAGGTCTGATCATGGATGCGTTGTCGATTCTTCGTCATCAACACGTTCGAAGCCTTTGTTGGCAGTGCCGTGCCTAGGCACTTTATAGTGCTGCTTCTTTCGCAGCCCAGATCCCTACCTCCCAACAATCTTCTTCTCAAGATAGCGCGCAGGTATGTACACAAGGGCAGTTACAACGAATGTGAACTCATTCGCAACGTCACCACCATCAGCTCCGATGAGCCCACCTAGTGGACCGACATACCACGTTTCGACCATGCCAAGGATCCACGCGACGATCCCGACGGCGAAGGCGGTGCCAGCGGCGATACCCAACGGCAGGCGACTGGGGTCATTCCACGCATCCAGATCGTAGTTTTCGAAGTTCATACGGCGGAAGATGACATGCTCGCTGCAGAGAATGACAAAGTACTGAGTAGTCCAGTAGCCGAGCAGACTAAGGAAGTTCTGCAGGTAGACACTCAGTTGCTCACGGCCACCAATAGCGAGACCAAGGATGGCCGCGAAACAGACCAGGATCCAGATGAAGCGGGGAACGCGCGCAAAAGGACGGGAAAATTGCTGGCAAGAGATGGCGGCGCTGTAGATGGAGATGACATTTACGTTGATGCCGGAAAGAACCAGAAGAGTGAGAATCAGCTTCGCAAAACCGCGTGGGTAGAGCATGGTTTGGATGAGGAAGCCCAGGCCGTCGTTGTCGTACACTTCTTCCCAGTCTGGTCGGTTGTTCATGCCGAATGACACGACGCAGCCGGCCAGCATGCCGATCGAAGTAGGAATAGCGATACCAAAGGTGGTCATGAGGAAGACCTTCCAGCGGGAGACGTTGACGGGGTAATGAACGTAGTAGTCGGATGCCATGGTCTGCCACGATGCAGAACTACCGTAGACGATAGCAATCAAGCTCAAAACCTGTCCACTGAGGTCCGCTCCCTTCAGCTTAGGCGTATTGCTGTTGTCGGTATACTTGCCCGTCTCGGCAAAGAAGATGATGAAGATGATGAAAAAGACGAACCACGCGTAGCGCTCGTACACCAAAATAGCTCGAAGACCGACGAAGGAGATGAGCGTAGCCACCACTGCCAGGATGACGATACCGACAATCAGCGAGATATGGCCATCCGCCACAGCAGTCAGTGCCAAACCACCCGTGATGCAAGCCACAGACGCCCAGCCAATCTGCACAATAGTGTTAAGAGCAGCAATAACCTTGTTAGGCCACCACCCAAACGCATATCTCGACATGGAAATCTGCCTCAGCCCAGTCGGCGCACCGAAAGTGGCGGCGAACCCTGTCGCCGCGCCACCAAGGATAGACGCGAAGATGGTGATGACGATACTCTGGCGAAGCGCTGCAGGCACAAAACAATCAGTCAAGCTGTTGCAAGTGCACAGGGAAAGCAGTGGTCTTACTCAAACCAAATTCGTGCCCGAGGAACCCCGTCGCGAAACAAGACGTGTTCATTGTGCCCGAGGCCCAGAGGAAGAACATGTTGAGCTGGTGGTGCCATGGCACGTCGCCCTTGTCTTCTGGCAGTTTGCGACTGATGGCTTCGGATTCAATGCCTAGTTTCGCATCTAATCGCTCTTCGAATCGGCGTAGTTTGGCGAGGATTCCGGTTTCGCGTGGGACGGCTGTCGCAGCGCTGACTCCTCTGCCGCTGTCTGTCGAGAGACTGGCTTCGTCCTGGGCTTTTTCCGCTGACAACATCGTGGGCAGTACTCCTCAAACAGAAGGCGAAGTAACAATGACTAGAAAGGGTTGTAACAAACCAACCGAGGGTCAAACCAGGCGAAGCATGGTCGTTCTATAGTAAACTACCCCACCGCGCACACTCGGCTCCCAGCCGCGTCACGAAAAGCCGTTTTGACGCCGATGACAGGGTGCGAAGAAAAAAGAGTTGCCGTATGCCGCCTAGCCTGTGTGCTTGCGAAGAACTAGTAGCTCCACTCTTATCTTTGACAAGCACTTCTGGGCAAAGCTTAGCCTGTCGGCAATCATGGATCACTCCCTCGGTAAGGAGCGTTGCCTGTGAGCCCTGCATATGGCTTGATTCTTATCAGGAGTTGGTACGCTGATTAGGTGCGACTTCGGTCTGTGGCTGACTAGCGGGATGATTTCAGGCTTTCGAGCCGTTCACAGAGCGGCTGGATGATTTGCATTCTCGGAGCAGGCCGATGCGTACCTAGGTAAGCACACTATCCTACAGGCCACGTGCGAAGCAGCATTCCATCACGCGACCATTTAGCAGTCCGTGAAACATTATTGCCATTTGCATGAAGCAAGGCAGAGGGCATTCATTTGGCCCTCCAGCAGAAGGAAGCTATCAACTATGCCAGCTCTCCTAGTGTACATACTATACAATGTTTTGACCCGTTCAGATCATGGTTGGGCATAAGTCATGCAAATGTATTCATGGTTCCAGGAACTGTCCGCTACACCGCTTTTGCGCGTGCTGATTGCAAGGTACCGCTCTTTCTGAGCAAGAAATCAGCGGCCTTGCTGGTTAAGGGGGTGACAGTTCCACGCTCGGGTTGTGCCTTCTTTGCTCCCCTCGATTGCTTCTGCTTCATCTGTTCAAGCCTAGCCGGTATACCTGAACCCAGACCACGCTCCCATAGAGCATAGCTGATAACCTTGTCTTGACCAGTCTTGCTGCGCTTCTCAACCTTGGTAGGCTTGACGCGACGCAATTCGACGTTGCCCAGATTAATCAAATCGCCCAGGTCGGCCCTCCTCTTGGCGTCGGCATCAGATGTGGCCTGCTGCTTCGCTCGCTGACGTGCCTTCTGCCCTTCTACATGCATAGCGCTGAAGAGACTGGTAGGCTGGGGTTTGGCGGCCTCTAATAGATGATTGTATAGATCGCCTAGGGTGTTCGTGGAAGAGAGGTGTGGATCGGAGATGCGGCAGCCGGTAAGTTGGTAAAGGCGTTTGTAAAGCTACAGAAGTCAGCAAAGGTAAAGTAAAAAGGGTCGATACACGTACAGCGAACTTGACGTTGATGTCAGTGACGGGAACGTGCCGCCATTTCGTCTCTTCGGGCTTGATAGCAGACGAATCTCTGCTGCTCTGCTGAACTGAGGTTTTTAGAGCCGCAAAGTCAGCCGCCAAACGCTTCGCTCTCTCTTCGAGGATAGCATGTCGTGACTCGCTCGCTGCAGCTGGAACGATTTGGTTAACGGGCTCCGGGTCGGCTGCATGGTCAACAAGCTCGGTTTGGGGTACGTCGTGAGCAACTTGAGGTGGCGTAGTTTCTTGAACGACCACTTCCTCAACAATTGCCTCATTGACGGGCGCTTCAACTGGCTTGGCGCGAGGGACGGGGCGGTTCGACATGAAGTCAAACGGCTTGTTCTCGCCATCCATCTTGACCACTGCTGCTCTCTTGTGTGCTGGTGTGTCGGGATCCATGGTCTGTACTTGCTCCTGTGCAAGGCCGGCATCCTCAAGTTCCTCAACGACCTCTTCAACGAGCAGCTCGTCCGATACCTCTGGCTCAGCCTCCCAAGCGGGTGCCGTTTGCATCGTCTCCAAGAGATCATCCAAGCTCTTGTGCTGGGGGAAGGCAAGGGTAAGCTCACCGCTTTCTGTCTTGACTAGCTTGATGTCCTTGACCCAGCGTGGCCGATCGTAAACACCTCGGTTGGCAAACTTGGATAGGTCCATATCTAAACCAGCCTGCTTCAGGGCATAAATCTCGGCGACAGCTTGTGTGAAACTAGCACGCATATCGGTAATCCGGGTAGCTTTGGCGTGGAGGCCGAAGTTGTAGCTGGTATATGGGCGCTTGGTCTTCTCGTGTACAGTTTGCGCCATAAGCAGGTTCTCGTCCTTCAAAGTGTACGGAGTGCCCGTGAGCTCTTCGATCTCATTGGCCATGTCCAGTGTCAGTGGCGTGTACGTCCGTAGCGTGAGTTTCTCGAATTCCTTAGCCAAGTCCTTTTCGACCTTTTCCTGCAGCCATTCCTCGCCACCGACCCGATGCAGGCCGCGTAGATACTTCGCAGGCTTGTATTGGGGGAATCTTGAGGCTTCCTCATCAAGGACCTCTTCGTATTCGCCCTGGTCTTCAGGCGCTATGCGGACCGGTGATGTGGGATCATAAGGGTCGACGTGTGCACCGATAGGCTCTGAGTCGCCAAGAAGACGCTTCTGCCATCTTCGCACGAACTGCTGGTGCTTTCTCTTGTCCTGTTTGCCCGGTAGCAGGAAGGACTGGGGTGCGGTTGTGGAGAAGGCGGCGGATGGGGTGCGGAGATGGGTGCAGGGCGACGGGGCGGGGCGGCAGGGCAATAGCGAGACTCGTTGCCGTATGCAAGCGGAGAGGGGATGTGAGGGATCAGTTGCCCGCGAGGGGCGCGGTATTCGGCGCATTGGGTTCGAGATGCGGGTGATGCACGTCTGCTGGAAATTCCTTCGACATGTCGACGAGCACGCCAAGCCGCCGGACATCAGCCAATCAGCGCCCTAGCAGCCCCGAGCACTGGAGAAGCCCATGGTTTTGGGGACCATGCGTCGTCTGATCTCCGCCTGCACTTTGATTTTTGATTTAGAGATTTTGACATCAGGGAAGATACTTTTATGTTGAAGTGTCTATTATGTATATCATGAAAACTTCTTGACTAGCCACGTAGAGCCTCTCTCGTCATAGTCGGCTTTGGACACGAGCAACTCCTTCAACAAGTCGGGTTGGCTAGCGACGTTTGCTCCTCCTAGCCATGTATGTTTGATCGGGTCATCTGCCCTCGCCACGTTCAGCGTGTACTCGGCTGGTACCAGAGCCCTCAGCTCCGTCTGCATTCGTTCCATAAAGCCGGCAATCAACGAGTTCCCGCCCACCACGACAACATTCGCCAACAGGCCGATTCTTAGAGCTTCTGGCAGTGTACTCAGCGACTCCATGACGGCGCCAGGTATTCCAGCTTCCTGAATGCCAATATCGGAAGGGTTGAAGAGGAGCTCGGGCACGGCGAAGCGCTCATTGCCTAGAGGTAGCAGATCTTCTCTTGGTCCTTGTAGCGGTTGTAGCCCTCGGCGCATGCGTGATTTTGCAGGGTCGTGGGGCCGCGCATGCCCGTGTATAGCATTCTCGTAGTCCGGGAGCACATAGTCGACCACTATGCTCGAATCCAGCTCTCGTTTATCTCCCAGCCGTCCTTTCCAAGTGCGCTCCAGATCTTTGGCGAATTGCTGCGATGATGGCACGACGTACGAGACTGCTTCTTTGATCTCGTTGAGCAGATATGTCTCCTCCATCATGTTGTAGTGCCGCAGCGAAGAGAGCTCTTTCAGGTAGTTTGTGAGCAGCTTCCCACCGACTGTAAGCCGCCGCACAGCCGATTGTATGAGCTTGCCATTGTAGAGAGGGAGGACGGTCGTGTCTGAGTACGATGTATCGATGACGAGGAGGCATTCTTGCGGTAGCGATGCCAACGAGGACGCGGTGGGAGGGTTGTAGGCATTGAGGGTCGCGCCAACGCATCGGTAGTAGGCGGCGAATTCGAACTGCTCGAAGATGATCTCGTCGCAGTTCTTCTGCAGCTCTTTCGGGCAGTTTGGCTTCTCTGTCAAGACCAGATTTGTGTCTTTCGGCTCACACTGCGTACTGTTAGTTCTCACACCCTTCACGAGCTCGCGACTGTGCGTACCCACCCTCAACCCCTCCCCCACGGCGTCGCCAATGAACTCGTGCTCCCATATCGCCTTCTCTGCCTCCCAATTGACAATGAAGCCCTTTTCCACTGGACGGCGAAACGCCAGTTCTCCAAAGTCTTTACACGAATCGAGCTCGGCGCCGACGTAGGTGCACTTGTCGCGTGTGCTGCGCGCGATGCAGTTGGGAATGACACTGCAGTCGTCGTAGGTAGGCTCCGAGGCTGGCGAGACTAGACCGGCTTTGATCGAATATGCGCCATTGTCCAGGACGAGCGTCTTGTTGGGCGCTGCAGCCGCCGACTTCCTAGACCCTTTGGGTGCCATCGTTGGTGTTTGTTGGTTTGCGCTGACGGAGCCATTCGCGACGCCCGAACTCCGACGCCTGTTCACGTGCGGCCCACCTGACCCTTGACCTTTGACATACCTACCGCCAGCAACTTCTTTTCCCAAACCCGATGATAGATACAATGTGCCCGGGACGGCAAGACCTGACAAGCCCGTTATGACAGATGCAGAATGGCTGGTCCAGCCACAAGCACATGACTACCGTTGTGGGAGTGACCCGACTAATATAAGCAGGTTGGAAGTGCGGAGTATGCATGCCCCGCGATGCACCCCTATCACCGTCCTGACATCCTTTATGCTTCTCCCACTGTGGCATTTCAGAGGCACCAGTGCTATCGCCCGCTTTCCTTAGGCCCTGAGGCTGGAATCCAGCTAGTCTATGACGTCAACCTCTCTTTGTCGACGAGGCACACGAGCCCACGAACACCATTCAAACAATCTTTGACTCTAGAGCCCTAACATCCAGATTCTTTTGCAATGGACGACTGGCAAGACGCCGCCTTCTCGACGCGGCACATGCACAACCGCACTGGCCGCAGTGGAAAATCTAAACATACGAGCGCATTCGACGTTCACAAGACATTCGCAAGCTATTCTGTCAAATGTCCGGCATGGCAAAAAGCCCTGGGCGCAACTGGGGATACGCAGCCAGAACAAGATGCATCGCTGGAGCTATATCGCTTGACTGAAGGCGGCGAGGGTGTCGT